ATATAATTTAATATAATAGTGAATAGTGATACACTAATCACTAACGCGGTGTGGATGTGGGGTTTAAAGTTATTTTTCGTTTATTACTCCTTTTAAGTCTTAAAGCAGAAGCAGTTAATATGATTTACATAAATTATTTTAATACCATTACAAATAAATTCATTATATTAAAATTCATGAAGATTACTTCCGATTCTATTTTTAGATTATATATTAAAGAAAATCCAAAATAAAATAATTCGCTTTTTACACTAAGATGGTATAAAATTTACACTATGTAAAATTTTTATATAGGAGATTAATACACAAGTAAAATTTTATTTTTGATTAGTGGGACCTCGGAACCTATTTTTCTAGCAAAGATCCCAGGTGTTCCAGGAATTATAAAAATAGCAATAATTTAAATTAGCCAGCCGTAAAAAAAAATTTAAAATCAAAAGCGGACGTGTCACAAAAATCCAGCCCTATTTAGTATTAAACTGCACCATAACCTAAATTTTAGAATAAATATATATATATATATATTATTATGAAATAGAGGGTGGATACTAATATCCCCCAGCATAAAATTAATAAATAAAAATAGTAAATTTCCATGATGGCTACTAGTGCTCCTAAACAGTCAAAAAACCGGGTAACTCGAATTTAGATTCGAGCTTAAAAATACATCACATTGTTTGGGTTCAAGCTTAATTAATGAAGGCTAAGGATTATCATGCAATTAGTGTTCCAGTGAAACGGATATATTCTGATGAAGCTACCTTAATTGATATTAAAAGAAATAGTCGAAACAGATTCTATTCGTTCATACATGTGTTTACGTAAATTCTTGGTGGGAATAAAAGCTTCATATAAATTATAAGATGCAGCATAAATTAATAGTATCAAATTAAAAATAAAAAATGTTTTTCTTTATTGTTAGCATTAAAAATCTAATTAGTAAAACCCAAATTTTGTTCTGGCCAGTTATGGATTGACCCGATTAATGGCTACCTTTAAATTTTAATTAAATAGATTAAATAAATGCATTTATAACTCCAATTTTCACAACAATTCAGAAATAATACTATTTTAAATAAATTCTTTAATTATTATTAATGGTTATACGTCGAAGATGTCGAGAAAGATAAAAATAAAGAAGGGTTGACGGAGTTGTATACACAAATTACAGAAAATAGAATTTACAATCTTGATAAACCTATTTATTAAGCAAATTAAATAGTATAAGCTTTAGGACTTTTTATTAATTTGAAATATTTCATATTCCTCCACTGAAAAGTATGAACGATTAGATGTATACGTAAATTCATTTCTAATTAGTTTCTCATAATCCTGAGTCCGATTGCACCAACACTGTCCAACTTGATTAAAATTATCCTTCATAACAAAAAAAAACAAGAGGATTACGACCAAAAAGTGGTCCATAATTAGAATTACAACAAATTGCATCGCGTGGATTTGTTACACGACTTAAAATAGAATCTTGAATAGTACCATTTTTTAGCGAAAAAACAAAGCTTTCATTGCAACTCTTCGTTATAAAATTATTACCAGCCGAACTATCCCATCCAATAGGATTATAGCCACCAAGAATTTCATCAGTGTCTTTAACCCTCATAACTACAACAAGATATGTTTTCTTATCACATAAATTCCAAAATGAATCTTTAGTAAAACCATCTCTAGTTCCACGAAGAAGTAATTTAAACTCATATGGATTATTTTCTATTGAATATGCAGTATCTTTTCTATCGACCCATGAAGCAATTTCTGCTGCATCTGAGTCATTAATAACCATTGAAAATGGTTCTGTTATTCTGGTTGGCAGCGTTGGCGTTGAAATTACACGAGGTGGAAGAACTATTGATGATACTGGGCGATCAGGAATTATCAGTTTTTTCATTATATCATTCCAAAGATTTTTATCTAAAATTTGTTGATATGGTTGCACATTGTCGACGATGTCTACTCCAGACATCTGAAAATAACGAACATGAGGCAAGCAGTTTTGTAAAGTAGTCTTTAAAATCAAAAAATTCTCATTGGACCAATTTTCAGAATCGGATGGTAGACCTGGATTTTGAGCAATTCCCCATTCGATAACACGATTCCAAATTTTTACTTCTTCCATTCGTAAATCATCACGACTGATAAGTGAAATTAATGCATTTTCTTGAAGTGAGATAAACTCTTCCAAATCAAAAACTTTTTCAGGGTACTTTACCACAATATCATTACACCATTTTTGTAATTTTTGAAGTTTTTCATTCTGAAAACTTTTTTGATAAATGCGAGCAAAATGTAAACGAAGCCAATGAGCTTTTGATTCAACTAAATGTGTTTCAAGGTACTCCGCCAATTCTTCAAAAAGAAATTCGTATGCGATAAGCATAAACTCAAAAATAAACGACTCTTCATATTTTTCAAGCAAGACAATTCCTCCGTAAATATACCTTTATGTAAATTTATGTAATGTGTATATTTTAGATTTATTCTTGCAACATAAATTACACAAATTACAAATAACTTACTTGATAATAATTTCAAATTGTTGGATAGAAACATTTTTTAAATAAAGTGTTTTAATATTATTCTTGTCTTTACTAATATTTGCCAATTCGTCACGGAAATATATAGATCTGTGTCTTAAAATTGCTGAATGTGCTTTGAATATTTTAGTGTTTGGAGATTTACCAACATTAATGATTATATTGAAATCTTCTTTATCATCAAGAAGTTCAAGATAATTATTCGAAAGTTTTTCAAAGAATTTTACTGCCATTTTAAATAAGTATAAAACATCCAAATTATTGGGTCGGTTAAAAATGTACAAGTAGCCCTTCAAATGTTAACTGTACGATTATGTACTTTATATATTTGTCAATAGGCTTCTGTTTGAGGTAAAGATTTGCCTTGAAATACGTAGATTTGCAAATTTAGACTACGTATATCGATATACCAAAGATTCATCAATATTTTATTAGCTATTTTTGCCCGGTACTTGGTTTCCTAGTGAAGTAGTAAACTAAATAGCACAAATTCCATAAATAAATCTTGTGGACAATGTAAACTTATTGGCGGTTGGCAAGACTGCTGAATATGAAAGTGGCGTTAAAAGTTTTCTAAATCGTCTAAGACATTAATGTCGCAGGATCCATAAGAGTTATTAAAGATATTGGAGTCAGGATACGATCGGTTGTACGTAATATTTGACGTAACAAGTTTATCTTGACAGGTTGGTCATGTAATCATGTATGTTAAAAAATAAATAAAGGTTCGATCCGTAATATAGATTTTTTTTTATTCAATTTCTTGCATAAAACCAGCATTAATAAATAGAACCGTGCTACCTTGTGTGTGTTAGTGTCTATAAAGAAAAGGTTAAATGCAATATAAAGAAAATAAAAATAATTTTGAGTCTAAAATAAATACAAATATTAAGGGTAAGAAAATATCCTATAAAATAAATGTTTAAATTGTATAAATATTGTAAAACTTTTAAGTTAAATTATTCAGAATATAAAAAAAAAAAACTATAATGGTAGTGCATTATTTAAATAATTTATACAAATTAGTATCAAATAATAATATATAATAATCTAATTAAGCTATTAATTAATTAATAATAAAATCTTTTTAAATAATATATAAGCATATTATAAAATATTATATTTAGATAAGTTTAAAAATAATTTGTTCATATTAGAGGTATAAATTTTTAATATGTTTAAATATTCATATCGATTTCTATGATTCAAGTTCCGTTTATTTTCTTTTTGGTTATTATGGTGCGAACCATCTAAAGACATCAAAAAACATCACTAATAATTTGATATCATATACAGCCGCAGAATCAATCACGAATAAAAATTTTTTTTAATTATAGGTAGTATATTTGAAATTCCAATCATCATTGCCTATGCCACACTACGCCATACTAAAATTTGTTAGGTTTTTTTTAAAAAATCGCTACTACTCGAAGAATATTTTAAGCTTCGTAGAAACAATACTTAGCTTGGTAAATAATGAACTATAGAGCTAAGTATTGTTTTTGCGAAATTTGAAATATTCATTGATTTTGGATGTCTTTAGATGGTTTGCACCATATAATTTAAGTCTTAATCAAAAGTTATCCAAAAATCATAAAAAGTTTATTAATTTGATTGTTTGTATTTTATCAATTTTGGATTTTTTTTTTAACATGCGAAAATTGAAAAATGGCATAATCGAATTAATTAAAAATAATACAACATAAATCAAAAAGAATAATAATAGTAATATAGATATTTAATTTGAAAAAAATTTCATGAAAATATAAATTAGAAGTATCAATTCTCAACAAGTTGGCTGATAATATAGAAAAATTGCTGATGTAATTGTCGAGGATTATATAAATAATAATATTAGAAGTATCCGATACATTCAATAAATTCAGCGAATTAATATATAAAAAAAATTATAATGAATATAATAGAGAACATTTGGTAGGAATAATATAAAAAGTATTTAGTAAATAGCATAAAAAGCAGAGATATAAAGGTCTAATTCGGTTTGACTCGATCCAGAAGTTGTGCTTTAATTTAACCTTAATATAAAGTTGGATTTGTTTGTCGTGTAGCATTTTGGTCATCATTTTAAGTAAATGCTAAAGCGAGTAAATTTCGACACAAGGCTAGCGCTAGATCGAATCTTGCATGTGACTCTCGGGACTCTGCTCCCTCGAGTCTAAAGTCAACTCAAAAGGCTGACTCCGATAAGCTTCCTAATATATATCCCAAGTGATAAAGATTATCTGTAGGCAAACATTCATTCCCTAAGCATCCAATGATTAAAAATATACGACGAGATTTTATAGTCTTGGTTGGAATGGAAAAGAAATTGATGTTTACAAGATTGGACACGTGTTACTTTCTAATGCCTTTCCTGCTAATCCTATCACCATTACAGTCAGATTATCCAAACCTCTCCCAATGGCAGCAAAAAGACCTATTATAGAATTCTCATTTCCGTTTATTGATTTTTTTTATTTCATCTATTTTCTTCATCATTTCATCCATTTTCTTTTTTAACTCATTTTCTTCCATTCTTCTCTCAAATTCATTAAAAATATCTTGAGAAAAACTCATTTCCTTTGGTCTTTCCTCTGTATCACGGGATTTATTTAATTGTTCTCGCAATATATTGTACTCTTTTTGCAATTCCTCCAGTTGTTTTTGCAACTCCTTGTTTTCATTTAATAAGCAGCCAATTCTTTCGTTTATCTCATCCAAACTCCCTGGTTTGTAAGCATCTTCACAAGTCGCTAAATGATCTATTACCTTTTTTCTAGCGCTCTTACAGATTTTCTTATTGATGTTAATTAAATCTTGTACTTCTTTTCCTTTCACATTTATTGGCGGATTATTTATGTGAACAACTCTTTCATCGCATGATTGAATCATTTCGACAATTGCACTACTTTCATTCTCAATCAATGATTGGATGTCACACTTACATGAATCTTCATCGTCAAAATTATCAAATTTCGTTCGAATAATTGTAATATATTTAGTAATGTCTTTATCAAGTTTCTCATCAAAAAGAACTCTTCTTAATATATTATAAGCATCAATTTCTTGTGGTGTTAATTTTTCTCCACATACAAATAAAATTTGATTTATCCCTTCCTTGACCTTTTTACATGCTTTAGCTACCTCAATTAGCACTTCTCTTTTGCTCAATGTTGTGTCATCAAATCCTACAGTGTCAATGATTTGGTATTTTACATCTTTTATCTCTCCACCTACTTCTATCTTTAAAGTGATTTTTTTCGATTGAGTCTTTTTAGTTTGACTAAGAGTTCCATTACCCTTTTCAAATACTTCGTCGAATTTGCCTCCTTCTTCAAAGTTTTTCTCGTCATTTACTATTAGATTGGCTAAGGAAGACTTGCCTTGACCTGTACGACCAATTAATAATACGTTTCTATATTCACTCATAATGTTTTTTGTTGAATCTTTCGTATGTTTATAAATTTAAAGGGTATGCTGTAACCTCTTTATATAGCAAAAAACTTTATTCTTAATTATATATTAATTATATGTGAAATCGTTAAACTAGAAAATAAAAGATTATTATTATTATGTAGTACTGCTAGGACATGAACTCCGAAATCTTCAGATCCTCAAAACTTCGAACATTCGAATTTCGGTCGAACTTAAAAAATTAATTAGATTAATTTCGTTAGTTAGGATTAATTTTCACTATTAGGTTAAAGTTCAAATCTACCGTATTGCCAAATTTTGCAAGGAAAATTTTTCATTAATGCACAGAATTAGTTTCATAAACAAAATTTGAATTATAAACGTTTTTTTTTCGCAAATTTTTTTAGCGTAGTAACTAGGACTGAATTTCATGTAAGTTACATAAGCGAATGAGTTGATTTCGTAACACTGTTTGTAATTGTAAATAAATCTATATTATAAAATTACATAGAAAAATTATTATCCATATACAGTACTGTTGAAAGAACCTTTGTAGTATTTACACTTTAGGAAAATTCTATAACAATACATGAAACTCAGGAGGGATCCTCCAAATTCCGGGTTAGTAGCATTCGAATTTGGACCTTGAAAGATTGAATGTGCGCAATATTTTAAAGAGTTAAGATAAAGATTACAATTTTAGGATATAGGCTATACTAAAATTTCACAAGAAATTTTTTGTTTTACTAAAACGCAGAAAGTTATTTAATAGTCAAAATTTCGAGTTATCGTCTATTTTTTTCATGATTTTCAAGTTATTAGTGTACTGTACACGTACGTACCTGTGACACTGAGTCTGTAGCTCAGAAAATTAAAGATTGCCGATCCGGAATTTGAAAACCCTTTGTTACTGTACGTCATCATAGTTCTAAAAATGGTTATATACGGAGTTTTCAAGCCCAAAATTACACGATCAGAAAACTAATTTAACGAGACGAGTTTGTAGCTGTCTTAATAAGCTTACAAATGATAACAGTACCGGTAGGGTGTTTGATCGACTAATTATGACAAAAATATGTATAGTTTTTTACTATGATCGTATTGTTACACGAATGAATATCATTTTTTAATAGGAATTTACTATACGAGAGTGATAAATCTTTAAAATCTAACTCC